ATTGTTTTTTATACGTAACCATAATTCTCAATTGTTACACCTTTGTACATGTAAGATTAGAAGCAAAGTTTCCGACCCGAAATTAAGCAAGTGTTCATTTAAGTGTATTAAGATACAATTCGTAATAATGGCATGTTTAGAGATAGTAATGTCGTTATTGAATTTTGTAGAGAAATTTAATATGCAAATGTAACTTTAAATAATATTAGAAATATAATAAAATTTTCATTTTGTACAAATGTAATTTTTAAGTCGTTTGTATTTGACTCGGATACTTAACTGAAATGACGCTCAATGTATTCAGATCCTATACAAACATCATGGACATTGGAGTAACCTCAGAGGTTACACTGTATTTTGAACGCAACTTTACACTAAGTCATTTTTAATATATAATACTTATGTTGACCCAATACATGTCTAAAGTGTACAAACTCCGTATTTCAAGATTTTAGTATTTTGTGATAATGAATGATCTTCAGATTATCAATTTCAATTTTTAAATAATCACAGTCAATAGATACTTACCATCACATCACAGCACTGAAAATGTGATAATATTAATGGAATTTTAGTGTGTAGGCCTAAAATTATAGCTGGGCAACGGCTTCCATTGACCCTTATATCTATCAATATAAATTTATTGCCTCATGGGCAATAAAAGGACGGTTATAATACATTTACTGTAGCTATACGATTTGTATCGTATGGTTTCTCTTTCCATCCCCTTAAAGACGAGAGTCTCGAGTCGATTGCTGTACAAACAGTGACAGTTCTTTTAATAACGCAGATGAGTGTAGTACGAGTACATACGTATATGTACCTATGCAGTGTGGTGTCTGACGAGAAAGCCTTTTTGTGTCATCGCCGAGTCTCGTCGACGTTGCGCAGATCATGTCCTATAACTTCTTAGGATACAGTTTGCATTTTAAAACACCATGCTATACGAGTGTATAAAAATAAATTAAAAAACCTGTGTATAATCATGAGGATTACGTTCATCCTTACTGTAACTGTTTACTATTGCAAGCACATATATGTATGTAAAGGTAATTATGTAGCTAATTTAGTTCAAAATTCGAGATTTCTATTTATATAGACTATTACAATTTTAAAGTAAAACTAGTAACAATATTTTATAATTATCTATTTACACAGGCTATGACTAGTTTTACTCTGAACCTCAAATATATATATATATATATAATAGAAATCTCGAATATAGAACTGAAAGAACTGACTTTTGAAACTTTTAAATATTATGTTGAAAGCATTGTAAGAGTCAGACTTCGCTTCTTGAATATCTTATGTAGTTGAGTAATTGTGAACAATTTTTTTACTACAATATCCGACCAGCCACCATTTGTATGCCATGGAGTTAGAGTAGGTATTTATATTGTTGAAAAATGATTAGTAATTGCCTTGGTTGCTATTCCAAATTGACACATGTTTTTTTTGTATTCACATTAAGTAGTACTTAGGTGTAGTCTACATACTATATTAAATTAGAATTTGATTGTATTAGTTTATATTTGCACAGTAATTTTAAAATGTAACCATAACTTCTTCAGTAGTTGAGGTAACTAAAGGATTGACTTAATATCAATAAGAACCGTTCTATGTTATTACATTTATTTGAATTTATTCATGACAAATGATGACATACAATAATGTATATGTTATCGCTAAGTATTATCTTGAGCTTATGAGTTCTCTCAATTCCTAATTCAGCCAAGCCAACCAGACCATTAAACATGAAAACATAAAGAAAATTATTTTTTTCATACGACAAATATACGATATATAATTATAGTAAAGAGAGGTAAATAGTTCTTACAAGATTCACATATTATGGACCGTAACGTAAATTTATGCTGTGTAATTTACAATAAGTAACTATATTTTGACAATATTAAGTATACATCAGGAGTTAAAATACACGTCCATAGAAAAATAGGTACATTTATAATGACGTAGGATATGACTAGATTATAACGAAATTAGAATACAAATATTAAATTAGTCATTATTAAATTAAAAGGACTTGAAATATTCAATTAACTGTAATAGAAGAATTTAATGAAAGAAGAAAATAGATATAAACATTCATCAGACATAGAGCCTGCGTTCCACATAATTTATGACGTGATTATTAACAATTATCCACATACACAAATATATTATAAAAACAGATAATGGAATATTTGTAAGCGAATGAACACGGCAGACTCCATGTCAATATCTTTGCTGTTCGCTCGAATAAAATGTTTATCTACATTTTACTACACTAACGTCCATTTTTACAATGCTTAAAAATGTTGACTATTCAGTCGGGTTCCTTAATTCTATGATGAATATTTTATAATATTTAAAATAAGTCAACATATATTCGTGCAAAATATACATCGTATAAATAGATACTTGAGACAACTAAACATGAGCATTCGATAATGTTTACTTTATTTACATAATAATATAATAGAAACACGACAAATATTGACTAGGTATACATTAAAATATTCGCATAACAAAGAATTTCTTCATTTTGCTGTTACATCATTCGTTTTTATAGCGTGTATATCTATACTATGTTATCTTAACATAAATAACCTTTCTGTCACACTTGAGCCAGGTCGCCGACCGATGTCTTCGCTTGTAATTCGAAGAAAATGCGACTTATAAAGGGCTCTAGCGTCAAATTGATTCATGTATATCTATTATATACTTATCCATAGTACAACTGTAACGTAGATACATACATTTTAAAACTGTAGAGACAAGGATATACTCGGTAAATGCATTATAAACCTTGCATTATTAGAATACAACAAATTAGAGATTACATAGTCATTCAAAATTCAATGTCTTATATGGCACAGTATAAAACTTAACTCGGAATTAGGTATTCTTAGACTAAACTTCATTCCTATTAGTAAACACTAAACAATACTTCGTGCGCTTTTTGAGACATTGGTAAAATCTAAAAGTACTAAAAGCTTATGTTATATCTGCAATGAGATTTGAATATCGAAGCATTTCTAATGTCTTGTTTAAATTTTAATTACTGTATTCTATAATAGATCTACTCGTCGATCGATCGTATGTGCATATACTATACAAAGATTGCCGTTAATTTAGCGTGAGTAGGTATCATGCAACTTATAATGGAAATGGACTGGAAAAAACAGTTTGTGTCACATATATATATGTGGATGGATTGATATATCTTACATTAGGCAGGCTTTGTTTTGGTACAATGTGGGAAGTACTGTAAATTGTTTTAAGTAAGTATTTGTTTGGAATTTTAGATTGTCAATAAATAAATATAATTGTAATAAGTATATATATTATTCTAAGTTAACCAACATTGATTAGATCATACAACATTTTAGGTTGCGGGATTATAATGTAATATTTTATTAAATATATATAAATGTATAACACAAGTAGAACACCTTCTGTTATTTAATACATTTATATGATTGCAAGTATAACGCCAAACTAGACGAGAGACCCTTCGGGGATTTTAGCACGGCCTTTTATATAATATTATAATGTAAATGACGATGAGATGACGTGTACTTTTGATATTAAAACTACTGGTGAAATACTTCTACTTCGTACTCGTAGTATTTGGACCATTTTCATGCTTATAGTCTCTCGTCTATTTAGGCCATCTAGCATTATGATTCTAAACATATAAAATTTTTATTTGGTGGACATAAGCGTAGATATAAGAAGCTATAGAATATACCTATGTAGGTATTTTATACCAATAAATTGCAATACACAAAGGTACAATTATATTATGTAAGTATGTATACAAAATTGCCAAAAAAGTATCGAAACTCTACATTAGTCATGAATTCATGTCGTTGTTACACTCAGTTGTATCTTATCCTATTGTGATGGTAATTTCGTAAAGATTTATCCAATTGACGCATTTCATTGAAAGACTTTTTGGTCCTAATTCACTCTCCTCTATTATACGTACTATTAACTGCGTCTTAATAATTAAAGAACATAATAAACCAAGCTGGACCTTTTACAAAAATACAAAAGTAATCGTTGGTAGGTGATCCTCCATCGAGGAAAGCGTATTTTAAAAACCTATTGTTAATTACGTCCCTCTCAAAGTCTATAGAACGGTAAAGGCACGGTCATGATGTGTATTGCACTTATGGGGTTACTTGTCCGTACGTAATCATACAGACAGAGAGAAGATATTTCTTCTAAATGTTTCGAAACACGCTCTATACTACAAGTCAAGTCGAGGAAAGCGTTTCAAGGCACATACTTTTAGAAATAATAGTTGAGTGGTACATAGAAAGGGAAAATACAGCCGCACCACGTATCGGATAAGGTTACATCAGATGAATTCAAATTAGAAAGACCTCTAAAAGCGTACCCTACGATGACAGATCCGATAATGGTGTAGTGAATCCGCTACTTTACTAATCCCGAGCGCTTGGTACATCACGTAGTACCTTTAATACAATTACAATACAGTTTACATTACAATAATTATTTTAAATAGGTACATAAAAATGTAATTCGAAGCTCTTGCTCTCTAGTTCAGTTGAAAAATTACCTGCACTTTGTCACTGTTTTCACAATACGAGAACACTTTCCACATTCTATGTACTACGTCTGCACGATATTTTAAAGCGGAATTATGTTTCGTTTATGCGATCAATTCGTTATCGCAAATTCCACCGTTAGCTATTGTGGAAATATGATTCCCGTTAGTTTTTTCATGAACATGACAGGAGAGGTGCAGGGGCTCCGGTCAAAAAACTGGAGGGTCGTGTCTCCTGTCACACGGTAAGCGGAGGCAAGTGCCACGGCAGAGGTGTCGTGCGGCGTGCAGGAAGGCGGGCGCGCGTGCGTGCGGCGGCGCCGGCGGCGGCAGCACCGGCGACAAGGAACCCGCCCCCGACGGACTGTCCCTGTCCGGCGCCGCGGACGGCGGGCGCTACACGTGCGTGCACGCGCCCGCCGCCACGGGTCAGCCGCCCGCCAGCGCGTCCTCCGGCTCCGGCGACCAGCAGTTGTCTGACAGCCAGCACCCTACCACTACTGTCACGAAGCCTATCAGCAGAGCTAGTACTATGTACACTTCTGCGTTTCCTGTGTTCCAACAATTAATTATACATTCAATAGGTTAAAAAGGTTACTTTGTAACATCGTCCACAGTTTGACGGGATATTACCTAGCTGCTTCCGAATGCCGAGTGGCTGCCGACTGCGCCAGAGTGAGTTGATGAGTGTTGGGTCCCCACGTGTACGCCAGTCTCGGTATCCTCGCCCTCTGGAATACTGACTGAATCTGTGTACAAATACGCTCACTTTAGAAATACATAGATAATAAAGGTTTTTATAATTATAGCTGGATATACATTCCATTAGGCATTATAATTTATCTTTTACTATTACTACAATAAGAAAAAGTCACACCATATCTTGTAATAAAACAATAAAATTACTGAAGGTGTTACGATTGCAAATCTGGCGTGATGCCAAAACTTCCAATGCCGAAGCATGATGTCCATACAAATTGGACGTTGATGATAGCAAAAAAGCGAAATTGAATTGTTGCGTTTTTCCGTCCTTGGGATATCTCTTTAGATTGCGTATCGTGCATAAAATCTAAATACGTGTATCATGCGAATGCAGCTCTACCGTGACATGTTATGAAAAATTCTAAAGCGTATTAAACGATATTGTACATTATAAATTACAGAATATTTTTTATACATTAGTAAAACTATAAAACACACGTATACAGTCATGAATGATATTCAGCCTATATTGCTTAGTTGCTTTTATAAAATGAAAAAATGTGAAACAATTCAATTTCGCAAAACATATTAATAAATAAAGTGCTATAATATATTCTACTTTGTTAACTTAGTTATATAAGTCAACTGTTTTTAAAGAAAGTAAACCTAAATTATTTTTTAGAAATATATTAATTCTGTAAGAAAATATTTGAACGAATATATAGGTACTTGGCTTCTATCTCTCTTAAATGATTATGTACCTATTAAAATTTCATATTTCGCGCTAACCTACTTATATACTACAGTACTGGTGATCGAAACGTGCAAATAAATTTAATTGCCTAATATTATCATGCAGCGGTATTATAGATATATATTAATATACGGTTTTCATCGGTAATAATCGATGATTTTATTTAAATCAATTCTGTTGCCTCCTAAAGTATAAAAAACTTTCTGTAATTACATTTTCTAGGCGGTAAGTTACTTACATTGTCTCGTCGCAGCCGTTTCGTTGCGGATAATAAAATGTGAATACATAAGGTAATATTCAAAGACATATTAGCATAATAATAGAGCTCTTAAAAGAGAGCAGTATTAAAATAATGTAATGATTGATACAAATCGGAATATCGTGAAAACAACAAAGATACATGTAATATTTTATAAAATTTAGAACAAGCCAGGCCTATTTCCAAGCCCGGCAAGCATCGATTACCTACCCTACTTACTATTTATCTACCTGCTGGACCTACTAATGACACTTGGGACATGTTAGGCTTTAAAATATTTTAGCTAATAACTAAATTTGGTATAACACATCTTTCATGGTACGGTAATGAAAGAATTTATGGTTGAAAAGGATTGCTGGTCTTTATAAAGTCTGTTTGCTGTTGTCTTTATAAATCTATAAAAAATTAAACAAATAATAGTTATTTAGTTGCCATTAATACTAGTACCTATAACTAATAAATATTAACATTTTCTGTTTTTCTGTGATACAATTATAAAAACCTTCAAATCTTAAAATATTTATTATTAGTAATATTGCAAATATGTATAATGTATATTACTATAAACATAAGTACTGGAATTGTTCGACGATAAGTAGGTACTGCTACACATACTCACTATACAATAATTTTAGAATGAGATTTGGCGTAATACTCCTACGGGAATTAATATTTCATAGTTTTATAATCAGTTCCAATTATTTCTGAAAAAATATAATAAACATAATTTGTAGAGCATGACTCACTCTCACTCATATTATATTAGAAGGATTTAGAGAAGGCACTTTAATATGAAAGAATCTAATTTTTGCTATCTTCGAATGCCTTTAATTTCTTGGATAGTCGGTTATAGAAAAATATAGAATCTTTTATGTGACAAGAGTGTTAAGAAAAATCGTCACAGCAAACGATCGACGACTTCGTGCATCTTTTTTTACTTTCATTATCATATATCATATATCATAAGTATATTCTTTATTCTTTATTGTACACACACACATAATAAATAAAATTATACAGAATAAATGTAATGTACAAGGGCGAGCTTATCTCTAAAAAGAGATTTCTTCCAGCAAACCTAGAAAATGTTATAGGATCGTGTATTAAATAGAATAGTCATACATACGTGTACGAAAAGAGGAGATATTAAAATATTGTTCTAATGATATTAACTATAAGTATCAATAGACATACATAAATATATAAATATATAGACATACATAAATGTAGAGACATACATAAGTATAGTTGTCTACAAGCTTTTTTCGTCTTTATTTATTACATTCAATAGAGCAAACAACAGACGACAGACCTCTTCATGAACATCTCTCAGTGATATTCCAGCTAGCGGATAAAGATCACTAAGTATTGATTTCAGGCAAACGGCTATAATGCTTTTGTGAAAAGTTGTTCAGTTTGATGGTGAGTAAACCTTACTTACGTCTATTGGTTTTAGTTAGATATTATTATAACAAATATATTTGCTACATATACTCGTATATAACTTCCTCTGCATACTCTACAGCTAGTATAATGTACAGTACATTATACTAGCTGTAGAGAATAATAGGTTCAGTACTTTGATGAATAGTTTAATAGCTATCTTCGCCATTCCAGTGTTAATCGTTAAAAGTAAGTTCACACCAACATGTTAAAATAAAACTAAAATTATCGCTTACAGTACAGTTTTAGAGGAATCTTCATCTGCACAGATTACAACAATTAACTCCTTAGTGGGGTGCGGTAAATACACGAGCATGCAAAACTTCTGCATTTGTTACAAGCTGTTGTAACCGCTTACCATCATCGGTTGACACTACGACCTGATATCAGGTAATAAACAATTCAGTGCTTTGATCAAGATTGCTACTATAACTGGTTAAAAATATGAGTGTATAACGCCTCATGTATGTGAGTTCTTATTTTGATTTATTTTGGTAAAAATTTAAATAACTTATTAAGTTTTTTTTTAATAAAAGTAACTGTAATTTCAGTTAATGTCAATATAGGTGAGATGTTATTTTTAATTTCATTGCATATTGTATTGTATATACTTAAATTATGAATAATACTTATATCACTAATTCTATTCTTTTGTACTATTGATCGAAACTTAGATCAAAATTAGTGGTATAAAAAACAGTGTTTAATTATTATATGATAAATATTTCGTACCTGCGTACTCCTCCGACACCAGCGGGCGGCGCGGTCGAGTGCGGCACCCCGGGCGGGACGTGCGCGCCGCCCTGCACGCCGCCCTGCACACTGCCTTGCGGCGCACACACACAACACCCTGCGCATACACTTGTAGGTTAGTTTGAAAATGAAATCTACTTTTCTTTGGAAATCACCATAAACTAAGTCGTGATATATTGTTTTAGATTTTACTCGGTCATTCTCATAATACATACAATTAGGAATAATGCGGAATTTTACCACGTATTATTTGTTTGAAAAATTTATCAAATGTGGTAAGATCTAAATTTACTTAATTGTATGTATAACTAAATCATCGATATTGTGTCTTTTTATGTATATTATTATTAATGAAAGCACTCTCAGTACTAAATAGTTATATCACAATTTTGTTACATCTCTAATGTAGTAAATGTGTATTATTTCATTACTAACTATGTCAGCTTATCAAAAGTAAACAGATTTTGCTTATTCATTTTCCAATCGGTATTGTTTATTTGTGTTTATAATAATAATATTGTCGTGACTAGTAACTATTGATTACATAATATATGTCATATATTAATGCTTTCATGAGTAGAACAAGCGAGAACTGGTGACTGAACCTGTATCACGGGTTTATTATCATCGTTCTTATTTAATACAACGTTACATTGTTTACGTTTACGTTTAATAATTCGTGCAGATAAATATCCCACGATATAAATTTTCAGTGCAGTTTAAACGACAAATTAGCTACCATGAGTCATTAAAAGGCTGTTTTGATAACAGCATAAATTATGATTTGGAAGAAAGGCAACGATAAATTACGTGGAGTATTTTACTTTAATTTGACATCTGTCAAAATGAGCCTTTTAACCCGGCTTCAGTATAAAAGCTTATTCGCACTGTGAATTTTTCCGCGTCATTGTATTCGTAGTATATTTTTGTACTTATGTACTCGGAATAATTTGTGCATTCGGAAAATTTTGCAGTGCTAAATGTAATATGATATTTAGTATTCTTTGTTCAACATTACTTCAACTGTCTTGTAAATTATTATTTTCTATTCACAACTATTATTAAACTAATAATGACTCCCATCATAAAAGTCAGAAACCATAGTAGTAATAGAATGTAAGAAAATGAAAGAAAAGACAGTGCATTTAGATTATAAAATACCTTTCAGTCTGTTATAATATCATACTATAGAATAAAATGTACGATGTGTTGATAGGGAACAGTTGGACTGACATCTATTATTTTCATTGTAAAGCGCTTGTGTTTTCATGAAACGATGAACATTTATCACGCGGGCGCATTTAAATAGTTTATTTTAATTCAAATCAAATTTGTGAACATTAATTTCATCGCATAAACATAAGAGAATGAGTTTCTAATTTACTTCAATTTGCATATCATTGTTATCCTACAACATGATACTGAATGTTGTTTTTAATAACAAAATGTTATGGAATAAAATACAGATGTTGATTTAGAATAAAAACAGTCGTTTCGAGTTTAATGAAACAGTTTGTGTGTCACGTATTAAATACTTGAAAGCTATTCCAACTTTGAAGTAGGTAATTTATTAGTAAATAAAGAGTTTAGCTTAAATATACACCGAAGTTTAATTTCCAGCAGTTGTGTAGATACAAAGTTCCATTAAAGTCTCCGTCCTACTCTGCGGTCTTATTTATGGTATAGCGGAAACATAGTAGGTACCTAATAGAGGTGGAAGTTATGTTTTACTAGTGTGTTATTCTAATTGATACTAAGCTGGCATAGCCGTGGTGTCTTTAGTGTTTTGGTTAAAGTTGGTAAACTCGCGCGTATTAGCGATAAGTAATTATATGAGTTCAGAATACGAAATAGTATATCAATAATACTTAATTTTCGGAATGGGTAACGGTATTTTGGTTATTCCATATCAGTAATCGATATTTTCGTGTCTTATAAAATGCAAATTAAAAACACAGGACGTACTTGTCTGTCCAGAAATACAAACCTTAAGAAAATAGAAATTTGCATTACATTAGACTATTCCGAATAAAATAATTTCAAAAAATTTCTAACGAAATATAAAGTCTGGTTCAAATTTCTAATGTTTAATTATTTGTTCTACAAATTTATATTTACTCCAAAACATTACCTAAATATTTTGGGTGAACAAAGAAAATTATATTAACTTACTAAAAATTAATATGAATTAATAACAAAACAGGTAGTAGAAGAAGGTAAAATATCCGGCTCTATTGATACAAACACAATAGGTTTTGAATAAATCACATCCTTTTGTTTTACGGGCTCCACAACAATAACTGTAATACTTTGAATATGCAGCGATAAACACGCACTTTAACAAAGATTCAATCGACCAAAATGTTTGAAATAACAACTCATAGCCTCTAAATTTATAATAGGCAATTCTTCATTCAGGTCAAACAATACCATATTGGTTGCTGTTTTAGATATATTTGTATTTTGATAATACCAATAGAATTTTATTGCTTTCTGTCCACAAGTATAACACCGGTTAAATCACCAGTTTATTTACAATTTTTCTTAACTAACTAACTAAAACAAAAAGCTAACTTTAGTAATGATTATGAGATGTTGTTCTGCTGTTATACGACATAACAATCCTGTTTATGGTCAATAAATTCAAATCTTTATCCGCTTAAATAAATGAAGAATAACATTTGATTACCATTGGATTATATCATCTCGTGTAGAATGTTAACCCTATAACCAAACAGGAACATCTTGATCAATGCTATTCCAATTTAAAAGTTTAGTTTGAAACAAATTATTTCACCGCCAATGGGCGGTGAAAAAAAAAAAAGCTTAAAAAAATCTGCTGAAATGTCAGCAGATTTTTTTAAGCTTTTTTGGGCTACATACATGTTAAATCATATTTAATAGAGTCATATTACGAGAGAATGGTTTTGGCTTCAGTTTTTTTTATGACCGGCCGCCTGCCTGACGTCAACTCTCATATTAAATATTCTCAAATAGCATATTCTGTAAAAAAATATACTAATACGTAACAGTTCTTGCCTTAAAGATATTATAAAAAATTCGTGACAGTTGACTGGTAGAGAATGCCAGACATTGTAAAATAAATAAATAAACAGTACCGGCGAGTGCTGCGAGAGCTGCCAGCGAAAGGAGGGCGGAGCGGCTGCGTGCCATGTCAGCAAGGCATGCCGCGCGGCGCCGGCCCCGTCATCGCCGCGCCATGCCGCCAGACTCCTCTCGTACACAGCTTTGGTGATTACCCTCTGTCCCGACCTGTCGCAATATCATCAAACAAATACTATTTAGATACAATTCATTAATTCGTATCGTTACCGAATTAGACGTCGTACAAAATCGTCTGCTTGGTATGCTTGGTTTGGTATGTTGCAGGTTGAGATATGGCAGTGAAATTACTGGGTACGGCGGTATGACACATTTGTTTTCCGGAATAGCAATGAGGGGTAATCAAGGACATCACATGTTGTCGTTGTGTCGTATCATAAGAATAGATATATTGACACTTTGCATCAGGTAAGATGTTAGCTTGTTTGGTAAAAGTAAAATAAAATAATACATCTGCTTATTGAAGAGATATCAGACTGTCTATATTAACCTCCACTCAATACATATTTGTTTATATTAAGTTTCTTATGTACCATAGTATGTCAAAGAATACGTAGATATTTAAAATATGAAAAGGTCGTCCAGAAACATTGTCAGGATATAAAAACAATTTGCTCGAGAAAAGCACACATAGAGTAAGGCACATGGCTACATATTTGTAGAGCATAAATGGGGCTATAGCGTGGGTGTTTTATTGTCATAACTGAAAGAAGAGGCGAAAATAAACCATAAAGAAAATGTTTCTTTTGTACTATACTGGTCTTTCTTATATGTAGTAATAAATTTGAAGTAAGGGGTTTGTCGGTATATTTCATATTAGTATTTTAAAGTAGAAATTTCTATACCATATAAGAGGCTAGGAGTTTTCATCTGTTTAAGGAACCTTGTTTATGAAGTATAAATACTTTAATATGAATCGTAGTGAATTTATTTCTAATCAAATCTTTTTAAATTTATTTGATTCCATATATTTCAATCACTACGTTAAAATATAGTCATTTTAATAAGATATAATTAGCATATGTGATTCGATAATATTTTACTAGAAAAATAATTGAATACGTTCATTACCCTTTAATGAAACAAAGTGTAGAAATAGATTACATACACATAATGAAATCATAATAAAAAACAAAACGAGTATTTCATCCATCCTGCCTTCGATAGGTGCCTACCTACTCATAGCACAGTAATTTTGAGTACAGTACTTCATAATAAAATTATTTTATGATTAGTTGGAGAAGTGACGCATCGTCATGAAGATCATATAACCAGACAAGTGATGGTCATTGTCGAACGCAAGCGGGACAGATTCTTTCGACTATAGTTTTACGTCATCTCAGGTGCTAAACCTGAGATGACGTAAAACTGTTAAGATATAGAAGCATCACGAGGTCTAATCCCAAATAGGGAAATAGGCAAAAGATCACTTTATAATGTTTTGAGGAAAAGTTTTAAGTTGTAGTAAACAGGTACGTACTTACTACAGACATTACTATAGATACATATAAAGCAGTAAATAATAGAACAACTAAATGGACCCAAGCGACCCTTATCAATCAGGCATTTATATAAATTATACTTAAGTTCTGTACAGTGGTAGGTAGGTATAATACTTTACAAAGACTCTGCTATATATACACATTCTCATAAATAAATAAATTTACTCAAAATGTGACCCTACGGTAAAAACATCTAAAAAGTGTGAACGGGATATGTATTAATAACTATGATATAAAATATAAATTACAATTTTCTATTGTACTGTACTGTAATAAAAGTTCACTTATAACACGGCTTTTTAGAAAGTACCTGATAAAAAGATAAAGCAACTGCATAACTAAAATTGAAACAAATCGATCAATCAAAACAAAGAAACACATCTCGCGATTAAAGCTCGTAAAACAAGTAACCATCTCTGTTATTAATGACAAAAATAAATGATAAGGAATATATACTATATCAATCAATCAATTTATGTAATCAATTTTTTCTAATATTTGGACAATAACCTAAATATGTAAACTCATTAAAGATCACATTTATATTCAAAACTATACGTCTTTTAACAAGCGATCGTCCTTATCTACTAAATTTAATTATTCTCAAAAAGTAACAATAATAATGACATCTGTTTTTATTCTTCTTATGGAGAGCAGAAAAGAGAACCTGCTTTGTTATAGCAGAAGTACAAGTACATGCACCTGCTAAATAAGCAAAAGGCGATACAGTACAGTAGCAAGCGCTTTAAATTTTAAAATAAGTCCCCATAATTCCAGAGCCGGATAGCTGGAATAAACAAGGAAAGAGAACTACTCCATGAATTGCTAAATCCATCTGATACCAACCTTGCTATTCAACTGTCATTCTGGAGGGTTTGAATTTGTTATTTGCAGCTCCTACTTGGCCACTTTCACAGCTGTAACCTCATATGAAACAGTTCTTGTTACTTATTTAGTGTATCCTCCATAATTTCTTTAAACATTGTGATAATGGCCAATAATGGCAAATGAGGAAATAGCAAAGACGGTTATGGCCATTTTATTATATTGTTGTTTTCATTATATTCGGAAGATATTTTAAACCAGAATATACTCATAACGTATGAAAAGTGGAAAACAATGCATATAGGCTCTAACAAGGAACATTATAATGTTTTATGTGTTACTACTACCAGCGATGGTGGTATCTACTGATCTGTTTACTTGAAACGGCACAAACAATTCTTATTTTGTAAACTTTCCAATGCTCTGGGAGTACTTACTTATCCCATAGATGTTTTCCATTAGACATACAGCTTTGTAATAACAATAAATAATTCATAAATCATCATATTTATTTTCGCTATTCCTAATGTCTATTTCTAAAGAGTCTCTCGTTTTCTACTTTTATGGACATATTAGAGTACCTATATTAGAATTTCGTTAAATTATGGACTTACAAAATCGGTAAGCAGTCATGTATATTCCTAGCGAATGATAAATTATCATTTTTTTAAAGGTTATTGGTTATTCTTACTTATCTTATCTGTGCTTATTACATTATATATACTCATATAATAATGTCCTCAAAAGTCTTATTATTCGAACAAGTATTTTTTAATTGTAATTTATGTACATGAATATGTATGTTTTGTTGTTATCTCCTTTTAATATACATATATATTATATTTAAAACACAACAACCAAAGGAGAGCACTTTTGGTACTTCAGGGACAAACCATAGTGTGAGTCCTTGGAATATTAACTCACTGTCATCTACGACAAGGGTGAAAATGTCTGAGGAAACAGAGGTGGAACAACAGGTGGGTCATACTTAATAGTTATTGCCAGGGTACAATTAAATTGTATGTCTAGCCGGCTGGATCGGAGGCGAGGTGTCGCTAAAATATCGAGAACGTACCCTGTTCCACCGGCTCGGAATTGTCGGGATTCTTGACATGGGTCATGTTTGCCAAAATATCCCTTTAAATGTTATTTGGAGATTCCGCCTATAGGTGATTTAATTACTCCGCAAACAAGGGTTTTTTATGATAGTTATAATATGTTAGTTCTGTGGTGTTTAGGATTAAAACCGTGAAATCTACTGTTCACATTTTATCTCCGTTGCTTTACATGTTACGTTATAAAAACGGTAATGTAGATTCTACAGTGTGATTGTTGTGTAGCAAACAAATATTTTATGGCGTTAATGGAATTGAAATAGTGAACAAAATATTTGCAGATTTGGTTGTACAAAAAATAAGCGATTGCTAATAACACAACAACAAATTCTTATTCATGGTTAAAATAATAAAATATAATTTGGTATAGAAAGGGATAAGCTATCATGCAACATAGTAGAAAATCCTACATTCTTTTTAGGTAATTATAGTACAATGTACAATATTTGAGGGAAATATTCAATATCTATATGTAAATATTATCGATGTTAAGGACAAAAGCAACATGTATATTAGACTTGTTTAATAACTTCTTATTAGTAGGTACATCTATATTACTAAGAAAATATTATATTTGTAGGTACATAGTACATGTATACCTAAGTATATTACCTGTTTCTGTTACATAGGTTCCGTCACTACACCGTTTCAGTTAGTCAGTTTAATTCTCAGTAAATTTTTAACATTAAGTCAACGTTTTTAACATTATATATTATTAAATGCATGTTGATTATGCATATCATACTAAATAGCAAGTGCTTTATACAGCTTCTTGCATTACAAAAGTAAATTAAGGGCTATTGTTCTCAAGAAAAAAGAAATAAAGTAAAAGGTTGCAATAAAATTTGCGACACTATGATGAATGATGGAGGGGTGAGTTCGCGACACAACAATAGATGTCACGCACTTGCGAACTCATAACCATCGACTCCAATTTATGGACGGTCTTTTCTCACTCCTCAAGAGAGTGTGAAATATAGTTCCGTATGATCATTAATCTTAGTTATGTTAGTGTTATATTTGAATTCAATATGCACAATGTTATTTAGAAGTCTCAAACCGTGAATAATACATTACATAATATTTTAGCGGTTTCTATCTTTACAATTCAGACAGTAGTGAAAATTTTCTAAAGGTGTTTGCTTTTTAATATTTTACCACTTCCATTTTATAATTCATAAACTATTAGCTGCGCTCGATACTTCGTCAGAATGGAATTTTTATAGCTGGCAATAAAAAGGTAATGCCTTTTAAATACGTAACAACAAGGTAACGAACACGCCTAAAAGGTACGAATCACATTTTCTACTCTTACATTAATTACACAAATAATAGTCAAAGGAAACTGTAGCACCTACGATATTTTTTTTAATATTGAATTGTTATAATCCAGACTATAAATTCGAACTAAAATACGAGTAGTAAAGGTAAAGGGTATAAAATTTTCTTTCTTTTTTCTATGTAGTAAGTATTTTCAGGTTTGAATGACACCCATATCTTCTATTTATATTAATATATTTAGTTCTATGAAACTGAAACTATACATACATTTATTTATATAAATTATGGAAATGGACAGTTCAGAATTTAAACAAAAATTACTTTTAAAAATATATATTTCAGTAGGTATATACAAAGGTTAACATAATTTTTTTATTCTCAACCCGTATCATCGAATTTTCGTGCTGATGTCAGTTCACTACGTATAGAGTTAGCGTAGAGTATAGTCGCTACGAAGCAAATAGTATAGCCAGCAGGCGGGATGAAAACCGTAGCATTGTGTTTGATAGTTCTTAAGGGACTTTGCTGTTCATTCCCAGGTTATTTTGTTCCCTTTATTAGCTAACAGAAAATACGATTCGAGATGGCGTCGATTTTCCCGTCATATCATGTGTAATATGTACATACCTAAAGTCCCTATTCTAATATCTGATTACTTTTAATGAAAACATTATTATATACCATTCTATTTCAATAATATTACATTATTATAAGTAACGGTCGTGTTGAGAGTAAGCCGTTGCAGTTATTTACATTTATTTTGTCACACATATGCAATACAATTTCAAAATCATCTTGGCAATAGTTGCCGAAATCTAAACATTACGTGTCAGGGACAAACGATTAATGAAACAAATGCTTTAACGTTCTTAGGAATTGCTTTGGATAAAAACTGCACTTGGAAAACCCACATTGATAATCTATGTATTCAATTAAATATTCTCATATGCAATATGGCGAATAGCAAAAATAGCAGGAACAAAAACCGCTATTCTAGTATACCACAGTTACGTTGCCTCTAAATTAAGATACGGTTTAGTTTTATGGGGAAATTTGGTAGTATTAAGTAGAGCTTTTCTTTCCCAGAAGAAATGTATACGAGCCATATTTGATGTTTCACCAATAACAAGTTGCAAACCGTTATTTCAAAAATTAAAACTGTTAATATTGCTCTCTATGTACATTTACGAACTGTGCCTATTTATTAAATCGCATCCTGAATTATTTAAAACATCTAATGATTTTGAGACCAAGTACACAAGGAGGCGTCCTAATAAATTATATTATCCGTTGATAAAGTCAACGCTAGCAAGCTCTAATTGTTATCCAATGGCCATAATAATATTTAACAAGTTGCCATTTAGTTAAAACAATTAAATAAAAGCAAAGAAAAAAAAATTTGTATAATTGGTTGTTATCTAACTGCTTTTATAATATAAACGAATACCTTTCACAAATGGTGAAAAAGTGACTAATACTAATAAATAAATAAATTATAATAATATATGTATGTAATGATGAGCAATGTATAATGACAATATTTCAATTGACAATTGTCTGTTGCATGTCAGAAATGACTAAATGTGCGAAGAATATAATAATATTCAAAATACCACTGCCAATGTACCACATTTTATGCAATAAAATTTCATTTCATTTCATTTCATTTCATTATTACTTACAATTTATTTTTAAACATCTGTATTTTTTTTTATCAATTAACAAATGGTTTTAATCTTTGCAACATATAATTTAAAGAAGTAACATGAAAAATATATTCAAGATACTAATTTCAGCAACTGGCAAACTCTATTTAGAACCTCGAGTTAGTTTATTGTCATCATGATTATGAAGGTTTAAGGTAAAGAGACTTCTTCAAAACAATTTCGATCGAAAATAGAAAGTAAATGATGCATAAAATGTCTCGGTAATCTGTTCTCTAAAATATGCGTCGCTCGCGTTAAAGCGGCTGTTGTTTTAGTCACAAATATTGAATGTGATTCAGCATTAAAGTCTGAAACCTCTACGAGTATGCTGCTACGAGAATATTTTCTCGTAAAACATTTCCCTTTAGTGAAGGCCGACCGGTACTCTATTTTTTCATTGCGAAATTTATACTGAACACAAACAAGGCCTAAAAATATAAATTGTAAGAAATATGTCTTGCTTTTAGTAAAACTAGATAATTCCTTATCTTCCTTGAATTTATTTTGTAGTAGATTATACTTGATAATAGTATGAATTTTATTATTATTATGACATAAACCTAAAAAAGATTAGAAAAGTCTCAATAACGCGTTCTAATTAATGAAGATATCGGTATTAATAAAAAAAATATCAAAACTATTTATTATTCATCTATCATTTCATAAAGACTACATTAATATGTATATTATGAAATACTTGAGTAGTTTGGTTAAATTATGAGTATATAGTATTATATGACATAAACTCTAACTTTATTATATTATCTGATTTGTTATTCACTGAAGTGAAGTCACTCGAAAGAATATTACACAGAGAATTGAAAAAACATAGGTTATCATTTTTTCGGACCAAATGTTACTTTCCAATGACTTTCCTGTTAATTCATTTATTTATTTATTTTGTGAATAGTTTCTTTGTGGTACTCAAAAAGGTGAATAATGGACTCATAACAAGATTTTAATGATGGGCTTGATTTGACTCGCGTCAAGGCTGATTGAATGACTCAAAAGTGGCTGAATGTGAATTAGAATTGCCACTGAAAAATATGAAAAACTAACACTGAATTGATTTTTGTAGCAATACAATTTGTAAATTTAAATATTTATTTCCTAAAGGCAAATTTAGGGTAAATATTAAGTCTCTATTTCGGTCTGGGATTTTCAATAAAAGACCGGGGATAAACGTTTGGAAATATAGAGCAATCCGAAGAACCGGAAAACCAAGAGCCTACAATATTGTTATTAGAGGTGTATAAAAATTTTTCAAAACATTTTTGTTGCTTGCTAGTCTTAGTTCGTCAAATTGGAATAAGGTTCCAAGTAGTAATATATTAATTACTCGTTGCTGAATTTGTTATAATTTCATTAACTGCGTTAAAGTATATATTTGTTGATATGAAGTTATGTACATACTTGTACTGTAAGAGTATATATAGATAACGATTAAAACTGTATGAGAATGAATGAACGATAGCGGAAGCTTGTTCGGATGCTCTAAAAGGCCCATGTATCCGGAAAACCCGGATGTAGAGTGGTAATCTTACAAGCAATGGCTTCCGTCAGTTATTTTGTAATAGGCTAATAAATAATACATTATGTTTAGTGTCATTTGAACGTTCATGTGTACAAGTTTACTTACACAAGTTTACAATCATTTTCATACAGTTCCTTGTTAATTTAATCCGTACTTTCCGCTCCGTAGACAGAGCATATTTATATTTTATACAAAGGCTGTTTCGTGTGCGGATGTTACGTCTAAGTCTTAATAATTAAATGTGAAATAAACTTTGTGCTTCTACTCATTAACAGTCATGCTTATATTTGAAATGTAAATACCGTAATTGCATATATGTTAATTGAAGTGTATAAAAATGTAGAGATTATTATTCTGTATGTCTAAAATAATTGTTGTTATACGTATTCTTTTGGTATGGCTCCAGAATTGTTTGTTTAATATTATATTATCTTTGATACACAAAGATGTTTGCGTCAAAGAAATTTTTATCTTTTTTCGGTTTTTTGTACTAATGAAAGGAATACGTTGACGTTTACGTGTTATTCATTCTGCTTCACCTGGGTGTTCAGATATTAAGTAATAAATTTATTTGTGTGCAATATGTAGCTTAAACTTAACAACGGATTTTAAGAAAGTGGCTCGATTTATCTATATTTAAGAGTTTAATGGGCTACTTGTAGGTACCATAAAATTAATACAATGGTCGTAAACTATCAAAAACAAATTTTATCAGTCAGATTTTAGGCTTTACTTTTCTTACTAACTTGCTGTCTTTAATTAGATACATGTTATATTCTCTTATCTAGGCTAATAATTAAGGTTTTATAATTAATTAAATATGAAATGATATACTCACGAGTGATTGCTGGTATCAATAATTTAAAATCCAAAAGTATATGGCACTCTTTCTAAATCCATATCTATCTTCGGCACTAGATCAACTGGTCATTTTAAAGCTACAAAACAGATTGGTACCGCACAAAGATTTATGAACTATCTTATTATTAAAGTTTCATGTTAAAGCCGGCCGTATACATTTTAACATGTTAAGTTAGTGAGCGGGTCGAGGCTGGAGGCGGGCTCGAGAACGGAGCGCGCAGGCGGCGTGCGGCGTACGGCGGGCGGCGGGCGTAGGCGCCACCTGTCGCTGTCGGCGCGACGGCGGGCGCGGGCCGGGCGGCGGCGGCGGCTCGACGGCTCGACGGCGGCAGCGGCGGCGGCTCGCTAGCGACTGAGCGGAGGCGCCGGGCCCGGGCACGTGGGGCCGCCGGCCGCCGCCCAGGTGCACCTGCACCCTCGCGCCCCCGCACGACCCGCCCGCGCATCAAGCGCTGCTCGCTTGCACCCTTGCAGCCCGTCTGCACTCCTTTAATTACAATAATAGGTATTAAATTAAAATAAGCTCAAAAGCAATCGTCAATTTGTCAATGGTACAGAAATTTCTAAACAATAACTATTCATTAACAAGCTTTCGTCTACAATAGTTAAAATTAAGAATGAAAGAGCTTTACTCTTAGTATTTTAAACTATACTCACCTACTAGATTAGATATTACAGTTCCAGTTCACAGGTTCAGTATCAGAGCTAACTCGGATATCAAAATCGTATAAAAACAATATATACCTATCCGTAGTGGCACGATCCAAAAATATCCATATGAATGAATAATAAGCTAATTCTATATATCTTATTAAATAATGTGTTTTTATTCTGGCTATATTTTTTTCTATCTCTATACTAGCAACATTTTATTAACCAGTAACCACAACATAATTCATGTACCCATTATGTACCCTAACGATTTTATCAAAAGAACGTGGGGACGACATGAACCCTTGAGGCGTCAAATCTACATATCCTTGCCTAATTATATGATGTTTTTATTGTATCTTCCCGGAGATATAATATAAATACAATCTTGTATTACAATAGAGATGGAAATTTTCACGTGATTTCTATTGATTCTCTTCTTTAAGGAAAAGTCTTTATAATCCTAAGCAAAGGTTAGAGCCTTAATATCTAAAAATAATATTTTTTCTTTAACTTCCACGTGTAAGAAAGGTTTTTAAAAATCCTTGTGGGAAATCAATCCACAATAAATATAATATATTACCCCAGTATCTAGTATCTACTCAATAGTGGGTACAAGATTTGTGCTATGATTATGAGACCACAAACATTTTTTTGTAGATCGGACTATTGAACTATGTTGTGAGATTCATGTAGATACTTTCTATATTATTTGGATTTCACTCAGGGTTCAAACCCTACAGGAAGGGGAGTAAATAGGTTTTGCGCTATAGAAGCCACATAATTATACTACAGTCTACAGCACATGTAGATGTATGTATTAAATCGCGCTCTGTCTAGACTGACTGAATACTATTATTAGAACCTACAATCTTGTACATGCATATTGTCAAATTATTTTATCACGTCGACTATACCGTCATAAAATATTTAACTCAAAATTAGCTTCAAATAACGTAAAAGCGGTGTTGAAAGTTTATATGAAGATATTATAATTAAAAGGTTCGATTAATTCGTAAGTTGTTGAAAGTGGGCTATAAATTATTAAAGACTTTTCTTCTTATAATTATTTGATAAGGGGCTCTAATTTTATTGAAGTAGTTGTATAATTATAGCCTGATTAGTCTTTAAAGTTAATTAAATTACTCCAAAAGTATACGAGTCCTTTCACAGTAATTTCCTCTTCATTTAGTTTTTCTATTGAAATTCCCGCACAATAATGCCCCATTAATACTGTTTAAAGACGGAAATGGAGTTTATATATGTAAATACCCAAAGATGTTTTTAATTAATGTAATGGTTAGAATTGCTCTCAATTATTGGTTCGATTTTATAAGGATATCTAATTACAATTCCATTCAGTATTATCTCATGCAGTCAATATAAATAGTTAGTCCAAATACCCATGAATATAACATACAATGATACTCTTATACCTACTTGTTGACATAGAACAAAAACAATTTCCGTATAGTTTTGATGCCAATAACCATCTACCGCCGATATTATTACGGGAACACGTCGACGCACAATCAACAGATGTCGATTTATTGTTAACGGAGTACCTTATAAATAGAACATAATAATGTACGATGTATAAACAAAGGATACAGGGGAAAAATGTTTCGATATTATACTATGATTTGCAAGAAGGCTAAGGCTTTATAAATAAAATTTTCAAAAGCCATCAAACTAGATATAGTGTGATGCTCAGTCTTTCTTTATTCCTTTCGATTTTTATAATAATAATGGCAACTAGTAACCCCTTTTTAGCAATGTATCATGTCAATTGGATCTTCTCATTAACCCTCTGGAAACATGCGTGGTTAATTATTTAGTGAATTCGTCATAATTGTCTTGACTTAATCATCTACTCGCCATCATCATCCATTAAAAAACAATTTGTGATTTACAATTTATTTTTTGTGTACTTATGTAAATTTTCATACATTGTCATATTTATAAATACCAGAGGTAGATTGTAAAAAAACTCTGCGTGGGTACCTCCATATTTGCTATGTTTCGATTGTAGGATGCAGATTAGACAGTGAAATTACAAGATATGAGGCATGACATCTCTCTGGAATGGCAACGCATGACTGGTATAATATCACATGATAACGTTATGTCCGTGGTGGTGTTCATGTATCTAAGTGAGTGTACTGTTTACTGTTAGATGATTCGTCAGCTTGTTTCCTTTTCCAATTACTTAAGAAGAAAGAAAATAAATAAAAAATTGATATTTTTTATTAAAATGTACGTCATCTCGTAATTTTCAATACTTACTAATTTCGTATGTGTAAATAAAGTCGTGGCTAGATAAATGTGCCTAAGTGGTGGCGCGGTCGATGGAGCAGGTTATAAAATAAGCTGCTAGTAGGCGCGCAGACGGCTGCGACGGGCACGCTCGACTCAACACACTGGACCCATGCCAACCTTTGAACCTCAATATAAAATTTATTCAGCTTTGACTACTCAATTGTTTCACAGTCAACGAACTTGTCAAAACATACCCACCGGTTAAGCATCCGATTATATTTCGAATTTACATTATAATGAAAAGATCTTTGCTTTTTTTAGTGTGAACACAAATATGAAAATATAAACCACAAATTTTCACGTTTATTATATTAGTATGACTTGCAAAAAGTAAAATAATGCATCAATTGTTTGTTAAGTACCATACTTATAAATTATAAAAAAATCAAAGTTTCTATACCTAGAGATCAAAGAACAAAATATAACAGAGAAAAAAAACTGTGTGATTGGCCTATCACCAAATATAGTTTTTTAGTTGCTGTTCCGCACATGTAGCGCCATACAGTGTGACTTAAATTGCTTTTTTTATTTTTTATTTTATACCACTTAGGGGGCAAACAAGCATACAGTCTATCTGATGGTAAACGGTTACCGTAGCCTATGGACGCCTGAAACACCAGGGGTATCACATTCTTGAAAAACCCCTTGCTGAAGTCTCTCGAGAAAACCTCGGCAGGTAGTTCATTCCACAATCTAAGTGTACGCGGGAGGAAGCTCCTCTAAAACCGCACTGTCCGAGACCACTTAGGTTCCAGCGTGTGGGGATGAATTCTCTGTCGATGGCCAGCGGTGCGATGGTAAAAGGTAGCCGTTGGCATTATGTCAAACAATTCATCAGAACACAGTCCGTTGTATATTCGGTAGAACACACAAAGCGATGCGAAGTCTTGCCTCAAGCTAAGTGGTTAGATACCGTTTGAGAGATTGGGATCATCGACAATTCTCATGGCACGTCTCTGAACCGAGTCAAAAGGACCGAGTTGGCATCCAGGTGCTCCTGCCCAAAGATGAGAGCAGTACTCCATGTGCGGCCGAACTTGCGACTTATACAATAGAAGTCTCTGGTTCGCAGTGAAGTACCGCCTCGCTCTATTCAGCACACCGAGCTTTTTGGATGCCAGCTTGACCTTTTCTTCGAGGTGACTATGGAACTCAACTGTGCTAGAGATGTCGACACCGAGAATCCCAATGCTCTTAGAGATGGTAATGGACGTGTTCTGGAATTGCGGAGCCACAGGAAAAGGGGTTTTCTTAGCGGTGAACGCGCAGGCTTGTGTCTTGGTAGGGTTCAATTGAACTAAGTTCGTGTAAAACGCGTCTCCAGTACTGTCATCCGCATAGCAATGAATGTCAACCGTAACTACGGTTGACATTCATTGCTATGCTATTGCTATTCAAATCATTAATATGCAGCAAAAACAGTGTCGGGGGGAGAACAGAGCCTTGCGGGACGCCAGCGTTAATGTCCATGCTATCGGAGTAACTATCGTCGACCACGGTTTTGATGCATCTGCCAGACAAAAAACTAGCGACCCATTTGCATAATCCCTCTGGTATTCCGTATGAGGGCAATTTCGATAGAAGACCTTGATGCCAAACCCGATCGAATACCTTCGCCATTTCAACGCCTCACCTTTGCTCTCGATGGCAAGAGCCCAGCGGTGTGTGAGATACACTAAAAGATCACCAGTTGAGCGATTATGGCGAAAGCCATATTGACGATCGCTCAATAAATCGTGATCTTCTAGGTGCTTAATAGTGTAGTTCCTTAGTACCTACATATTAGTAGTATATCATCCTAGTTGGCGATGTTATTGTTTTATTTATTCTTTGTACACAAAAATGTATACATGTGGACTTAATGCCTGTTGGCATTCTTTACCAGTCAACCGTCGCATTAATCAGAGATAATAAGGTGGTGCACTTTGATAATTCATTAAAAAGAAAAAAAAAGAAAAATTGTTGTTATGACAAAGGTCGACTTTACAAAAAAGGCTTGATCTTACCTACTTCAGCACTTCACCAAGCAGTTTTCTTTATAAGATGTGGTTTAATTAAAGGGCGATTGAGATAAGGCAATTAAATAAACAGGATAAGACGCAGAATATTTCAGTCCCACGGAATGCCAGCGCTTTGTGGGTATCGCGAGCGGTACATAATAACGTGATTTACATACATACAATACCGTTCATGTGCCACTTACCATCGGGTAGGCTGTTAGCTTGTTAGCTTT